GTCGAATTCTTGACATTTTCCGACGAGCTTCTTGACGAAGACAGTGATTCACGTGAGCAAATAATAATACTTTGTAGATGACTATATAAGATTTTAATGTATCTACAATAGATTTATTTGTGTTATTCTTAAACCTACTCATAAAAAGTTGTTACAGACTTTATAATTATTGCAAATAGTTGGTTGAAACCAAATCGAGTTAAGATATTTTTCAATTTGAAACGAAATATACAGACAGCTACTTATGGTTTTTTGATTGGTGCATATTGAATGATTTCAATGTGTTATTTTTTGTTTAACATCATCAACGAAATCTTAAAGAATTTGGGAATATCTCACATTAAATCTAGTACTGAACAAATACTAACTTTTTCTAACACATATTTTCGGGTAATTGCTATTCATAAAGTGTACACTTACATTAACAAGAACTCCATTTTTATACCATTTAACAGATGCATTTGGATCATTAATATGACATTCAAGTAGAATTGTTTTTTTTTTTCAAAATACTTCCATTTCAGCGGGTAATTCTTTATAAAAATCATACAATGGTTTAACAGCTAAAAGAAAAAGGACAAAATTTATATTTTTTATAGTATTATGTTTCTAGTAACAAATTTTATTTACTGACCATTTCATTTATTTTACTAACCACTTAAATGGTAGACAAAATAAACTGTCTAAATAATTGAATTGTTTTATAGAAAAACTAGAAATAAGAAAGTCAGTCTTATTTTCCAAGCAAATATCTTCACAGAATAATGAAAATCGAACAAAAATATTGTTTTACATCATTTTTTTCTCTTATTTCAATATCAATAGTTATTCAATAACCGAAGATAATGAAAAAAATGACTGAGAAGTTAATAATCATGCGCACTTTTGAAGGTGTAAACAAGTAAATCAAAGATAAAAGTAAACATCTAAATCATTTATCTTATTAATATTTCATTATATTAAAATCACTTGATCATCATTTTAACAGTTGATACAAAATTCAATAGAAAAATCGCTTAATATAAAAGAAACTACTCACGTATCTATCACTCCTAAACAGTATGAGTTCAATAGTTTCATTTTATTCTGCAAATCAATGTTCATGTCTATGACGGTCACCGTCTGTGACATAATCAATAGAATATCTATCATAGAATTCAAATATTACCAGTTATTTGAACAGTTTTTGTTGGTTTTAATGGTTCACCAGCTCCAAAAAAGTGTTTTCAGCAAATATACGAAACTGATATTGTTTATTTTATAATAAGTTTTCAATAGTACAACGAGGAAATCGACTTGCTGCTGCTTTAATCCATTTTCCACTGTCAGGACCAAGTTTTCTAATAATCTGATTTGTTATATAACTACCACAATCATCTTCTGGTAGACACTATGATAATTCAACTGATTCATCAAAAACAGAATCAATTTGTACATTCTGTGGGATACCAGGTACTTCTATTCAATAGAAATCATAGTGAATTCATATCTAGATAAATTAAGAATTATTCTACCTGATACATGAATACTTAATGTAACTTCATCTTCACTTAAATTATTTTCTAATTTAATTTTATATGGTCCAGTTGTATTTTTATCTCCATTTTGAATAGTTAATGTAATAAAGCGATCACTACCATCAATTGAAACATTTTTATTTTTTGTTATATTATTTTCATCGTCTGATAACATTACATTAGGTAATGGACTACCAGTATAAGGAATTTTAATAACAATTGATTCATCTTTATCCTAATTAAGAACATCTTGATATTTTAGTGGTGCTAGAAATAAAAATATATTAAGAATTTATTTTTATTTATAAATTTAAACTTACATCGAATATTAACATTACAACGACACATTCTTGAACCACGTTGATTACGTGCTTTAATACTGTATTCGTCAATATCATCTGGTGTAGGATTATTAATAAACAAAATACATTTATCACCACCACGTGTTATAGTATGTTTAGCACCTTGAGAGATTTCTTTAGTACCTTTGACATAATTATGTATTATAAAGAAATAGTTTGATATAACTAATTAACGAAAAAAAAGAAATAAACCATTCAACATCCTGTTTAGGTATTCCAATAACTTCACATTCTAATGTAATTGTTTTAGCTTCATCACCTTCAGCATTTTTTATTTCTTCAAGAAATTCTGATGCAGTAGTAGATGCATTTGCATCTTTAATCTAATAAAATAAAAAATCTAATTTAGAAATATTGAAGAATTAACGTCTGAGTGTTCCTTTGCTAAGACTCGAGCAAATAAATGACAGATAGATGAAGCTAAATGAGGAATACTTTGATGAACATATTTATTTAATTGAAACAATCAAAAAAACAAAATGATAACATCAAAAACATCATGTGTCAGTTCAAAGTTTTTCATATTTTAATATCCGATGAGCGCCATAACCATCAACGTAAAGATTCCCTTCATTGTCAAATGCTAGATAAATTGGACAGCTCATTTGATTTAATTGGGTGTGGGTGTAGGTGTGACCAAAGTAGATACACCCATAGAAACGGCCGGTTCTGTAGTATTCTGGATATTTCATGGAATCCTGCTTCAGGAACCATCGTCCGGCGCCATAATCTGCAACGACAGATCCTTCTTTTGTTCCTTGTCTCCACCGTCTTTATCGATTGTCAGCCCAAAACAATTAACATCTAGTACAAGGATTGATTGATTTGGTATATTTTGATCGGAATATTGCATTATCCATTCGAATTCATGATCAGCAATAATAAATGAAC